TTCATTACCCATTTAAGCCGTCTCCAGCCATTATTAATTAACCAGTATATTCTTAAACACTGATCTGTTGGCCTTCGATGATACGGTTCTACAGGTACTGTGTACTGTCATAAATACTGATTGACTGTAACTTTTATAACGCATCCTGAAATAAATATTGCGAAATCAAGCTCGACCAAAGAGGCGGTCAAACGTCGGTAAATTCCTTTGTGAGCCAATCAAAATTAAGATCACTCATGAAATGAATTCGTGGCGTATTCATAGAATAATTATTAGTTGATTTGTTTGTTCGTTTTTTGTAATTAAGCACAAAGCTTCATAAAGGGCTACTTGTGCTCTGCCCACCACGGGTATCGAAATCCGGATTCTAGCGTTGTAAGCCCGCATACATACCGCTGTGCCACTGGAGGGCCACATTTTATGACAGATTTTAAATGCTACATATTGTTATGAATTATGGTGCCCTTATTTCAAACAAAATAACAAATAATCAATTTTAAAAATAAAATTAGTTAATATTGTGTTTTAATCCTCATTCTAAAAATACGATTTGTAAACAACTTAAATAAAACTTGTAATAATTAAAATTCACTTACTTAATATGGTTCACACCATAAAAGTTGTTTGTTCACGAAACTTGATGGTATAAATAGCGCCTACAACCACTATCATATATATCGTATTATAGTCGGCCTGATGAGCCCTGGTATTAGGCGAAAGGCCTCATCGGCATTGCGTACGGCATATGTAGTGTTTTGGGCATATGACAACATATTATACTTTGTTTTCACTTACAAGTTCATCAATATGTATGTATGTGTGTACGTGTGTGTGTGTGTATGCACAGTTTCAAAACGTCACCAGTTAGAAAGTACCCGTATGGCGCGTTTGGTCGTTTTATACAGCACAATGATGGTTTCACGTTTATGTTATGAAGTGGTTGTGGAAAAGCAACTTATTGCAAGTTAATAAACACTAGGTTATCAGCACACTTACGCCTTTTCCTGTGTATGTAGGTGTTGAACTAGCTCATCACGTTTGTTAACGATGACCACCAACTCATCCAGCAGAAGCTTCTCTCGTCGCTTCTGTGCCTCGGTCTTCTGCCACTCTGTAACGTATTAACATAATTTATTAGTATATTTTTATTCATTGTTTTCTATACTTTGTGACATAAAACACACTCGTAAATGTTGATATAAGTATAGAAAGACTACACGCGTTTGGCCTTTAACCTTCGAAATTGAAATGATCTTGATCCCCGTTACGTTATCTGACCTATGAAATTACTTTAAGGGAATTATTACAAGTATGTGTGACATTAACTGTAACGAACAGGAACTGTGGTAATACAGAAGAATATGTAACTTCGGCTTTATACAATTACAAAAACCTGTAACTTGACATATTAAAATAGGCTTAGTAAAATTTTGTAAAGTTCTGGACAAAGTTGACCACTCTTATTGTGAGTATAACGACTGTTAATTCAAAACCTTGCTGGTTTCGTTCATGAAAGCTTGCTTACAAAATAAGACGGAATACCAGGCCCTTTGAATACGGAAAGCTCGAGGAAGTTGTTAAAGCGCCGTAGCAGAGATAAAAGTAGACCCAGTGTCGTGCAGATATTTTGTGAAGTGCACGCACACCGTTCAAATGAAAGGTATGGAACATTTGGAAGTGATACACACTAAAACATAACCAACAAAGGTAAACTTCTGGAAAATGTTATGTGAATATTCAATATACTTGCAAGGCAAGTACGCCAATACGCACATATGCCCCCTCCGCCATTTTGAAAAATTATTATATGGTCCCGAATATTTTACGCTGATATTCAGTATCGTTCCGCTGTTAAGATTATTTGCCGTACTGCCCCATTTTGATTCACTCTCTGGTAATGTGTGTATTTTCAACTTAGACATATTGTTATATTGCGGATATTACTTGAACTAAGTTATTAGAGTATCTTTAAGTACGGATTACACGCATATTTATATACTCTTAAAAATTGGTCACTTAGTATCTTGAAAGCGTCTTTTTTATATCTTTTCTTCGGTGGTACCGGTTTCGTGGCTTATATGTATTACATTGTGAACCATCAACCCATAATACATATTTAAATTACTTGGTATATGAGAAGATGTATGTTTTATGATATATAAGATAAAAAAAAAGGCTTTCGAAAGTGTACTTGTGTGTGTTTCTTGTACACGTATGGACGTAATGTGTCCGTATAAAGCGTCGTTATTAAAATTGTTCATTGTATTACAGTATGCAAGTGTTCATTTTACTGTGTGTGCTCTGATCCTAGTTGTTACGTAACCTAGAAATCGTACTTTTTAGAAAACATTGTCTATACGTAAACGGTTCTTAGAAAGAGGCCCCATCTGGTGTGCTAGAGATTAAGGATTAGTGACAATAAAAATACGTCTTTTAACTCGGGAAAGAAGAGGAAGAAATCATTTTCAAGGATGCAACTGTGTTGGGTAAGTAAAGTGTTTTTTTAAACTTTTTTTCTTATTGAATAAACAATTCATACATTAAATTGTTCTTCTGACCCGTAACAACACATGTACAAACCTGTCTATCGTTCCTGTAGAATAGACTTATACAAAGAACATTTTAAATATATTAAATAACAAACTAGTATTTGTGTCTTTTTCTTGTGTAGACAGCATTTTAAAAAATCAAGAAGTTTTTGTTTCTTTTAGAGCAAAGCCACGTTGGGCTATCTTCTTTATCTACTGCGGGGAGTCGAGCCCAGGATCTCCCACATCAAGAAGTGAAATGTGCACAGATTCTGAGTGAATATACTTTACATTATAAAAGAATTTGTGAGGCCTATACAGGAAATCGAGCTTGGCTTGTCGTCACGATAAGCCAGTGTTGAACTGATTATGCTAACAATTATCTTAATATGGGAATGAGTGTGTATTAAACATGAGGTCAGAACAGCATCCATAAGGAAGGAACTCGCAGTATTATTTGTACATGTATGGATACCGCCGTCGTTTCTCTACAGTTTTCCTACAAATTAAGCAGTATTATTTGTACATGTATGGATACCGCCGTCATTTTTCTACAGTTTTCATTTCTCCTTCTGAATGATTGTCACCCTACAGGTGGCTCAGTGGTGAGTTCGAGGGTTTATAATGCTAATATTTAGGATTCAAGTTGACACAACTTAGATATACTCTTTGCAGCTTTACGCGTAAAAAACAAACTAACTATGAATGCTTTCCTATTTTGGAAAACGTACACTATGCGGTAATACACACGAGTCGTAATATGCCGTTTTCCGTCAATGTTCTTATATGCCTCTGTTGTCATAGGACGAGTGGGGAATCCATTCGCTATGAGTCTTTTCAAGATATGGAACGGATTACACACATTTTCCCATTCCACAGTTTTCCTACAAATTAATATCGATACCGCCGTCGTTTCTCCAGTATCATTTGTACATGACAGTTTTCCTACAAATTAATTATCGATACCGCCGTCGTTTCTCTACATGTATGGATACTGTCGTAGTTTCTCTACAGTTTTCCTACAAATTAAACAGTATTATTTATACATGCAAATAATACTGCTTAATTTCTAGGAAAACTGTAGAGAAACGCTTACGTATATTCTTGTTGAAACTAACAAGATAAATCTCTGCTGAAACTATCACCGTAACATCATGACAAAATTAAGAGTGAACACTAAGCTTATAAAGCTTAGAGTATAGCGAATTCTTAAAGGCTACAGTTGTCTATAGTTTTTTTATAAGGCTAGTAATGGAGCTTCAATACGTAATTTCCGTAGTGCATGTTGGTGTATAAAGACATATTAATACTATAGATAAACGACCTTATAACACTAAAATGTTGTTTTTATTTAATTAGACACTCAACGTTTCGCTTTACAGCTTCTTGAAGAGCGTTCACTAAAACACAAACCGTACTGTCAGTTTCGGTAGGTGTTTTAGCGAACGCTCCTGAAGAAGCTGTAAAGCGAAACGTTGAGTGTCTAATTAAATAAAAACAAGATTTTAGTATTATAAGATCTTTTATTTATGGTAGCGTTACATCTTATTTGTAGCGTTAGTAGTGGACGTAGATCCTGGTGGCAAAGAGGGTGGTTTCGTAAAGACAATAGAATAACTTTTTTTGATAAATATAATAGCCTAGCTTATCACGACAGCTAATAATATTTTCATTACAACATTGTAGTAAAAGATGTTATTGAAAGTAACGTAAGCTCTATAATACAAACCTAATATTGATAGACGTTGTTAAAGCGAATGGTGAACCGTTATTATAAAGCTAGCAGTGAAGCCTGTTGCATAATAAGTTCATATAACAATTTAGATTATTAATAACAAGTCGTTAGCAAACTTCATTATTAAAGATAATAGTGTATCTTTTTGAACAAGCTGATACTGAAGCCCGAGTATAAAGCTAATAGTGAAGAGTGTTGATTCAATAATAATTTACCTTGTTGATAAGGTTAACAGTATAGCCTGGTAATAAAGCTAATAGTGTATTAAGTGCATAAGCCTAACATTAAACTCGTTCGTGAAGTTATATAAAGTATAGCGTGCTGCACATTCTGGTTGTGTATATATATATATATATATATCATTTGTATCAACCAGTAGTTAGCCTCAGAGTATTCACAAAACGTCCAAACCCGTCAGGTGGAGCTAAGATGCTGTAGTGGCTTGTACATGAAAACTGAGCGAAACAAAACGAAGGATTAATGTCAGGACTACATGCTCAGGGCGGAACGTTTCTGTAAGCCGCTTACCTGGCAATGCAGTTACCATGGCATTACGTGCGTCTGACAGTTTTCGTACTTCTTTGGCGCGGTTTCACATCAACGAACTTAATCTACTGCAAATGGTTAAGACACATAAATAGCTGTTTAATGAAATTGAACAATGTCAAAAGTCTAGCAAGAACTGTTCTAAATGTTTATACAAAAACGTTTAGCTTGCTAATGCATAAAACACGCCATTTTGAACAAAGAGACTGATATTGACTTAAAACACCCCTCGCTGTACTATATTTACACATTTCCCCATGCAACGTACGGTAAACCAACAAAAATGTCAATCTTTCGGACTAGTCGTCGTCTTTTTTATTTTTTACCATGATGAACTAATATTTCACAAGACATAGTATTTGATTTTGTACAGTAAAACGTACAGAAATACAATATACGTATCAAATGTTTGAGGAAACTTTATATATATCTGTCATTGTATCGGTTATCCTCGCTTATATGGGTCATAGTGAATTTTTAGCATAAATTAAGCGTCCCCAAGCGGGTCAACGGTTACTTTAAGGATTTACAATGGTTAAATCCCGAGATCGATTCCAGCCTAGTGTATAGCGTTGTGCTTAAACAAACATGAACCAAGTAGTTAGTATATGTACTGAATGTAGGCTTAATCATTTTTCTATACAGCTCTGTATACGACCTGGTGTGAATATAGTACGTTTATAAATTAATTGACATTTATGTGTGAATGAGTGAAGCTTTAGAGCGCGTTATATACCAATAAGTAAATTGTGCAACTGGCAAGGGCAAAGTACCTAATTAGCAGAGGTTCAAGGTTCCTGTCTCTGAGACCCAAGTCCACAATTTTGTTAATATATATAAAGACTTCAGTATGAAAAACACGTGTCTGGACATACCTTCAAGGGACAACATTATTCGCAGTTCTCGATTCAACAGTTCAAACTTTCTCTCCAAGTCTTCTTCCTTCTCTCTGAAAATAAAGGCGGTATTTAGATTATCATGTTTATTTGTTGTTTTGAATTTCGCGCAAAGCTACACGAGGACTATCTGCGCTAGCCGTCCCTAATTTAGCAGTTTAAGTCTAGAGGGAAGG